ATGTCATTGGAAAATTTATAGTGAATAAATATTGTCCCTACTTTACTGAAGGGTAAAATATGATGTGATTGGTAAGTTAATAGTGACTAAATATGATGTGATAAATAAGTGACTTCCATTGCCTTAATTTAAATTGTCTGTTTTCTATTCAAAAAGTCAAACTTTAATCATGTTCTTGACCTATGTTTGTGATCTATTTGAGAAAAAATATTGTCTTATCACATTTTGTTTTGTAGAATTTATGTAGTTTTTAAATATATAAATTTTATTTCTATATTCATTATCAAATTTCAAAAAAATTGAAATGAAAATAACATCAGTCAAATTTTGTAAACAACAGATGACTCTTTTTGGGACGAAAAGAGTTATAATTGTAATAGGGCAAAAGAGAGATTTTATTTGGGTAATTTGTCTAAATAGGACTAAAAGATAATGACTTTCTCAATATAGGACCATATGTTTTTATTTCTCAATGTAGGACCATTGGTCATTATCTATTAGTCATTATTCAACTAAATATCCAGCATCACTTGGATATTATTTTTCTCACTAGTCATTATTAAGTCCTTTTTAGAGAATAAAAAAGTTTAAGTCCTACATTGGGAAATGACTTATGTTTTAGTCCTATTCAGTGCAAATTTTACATTTGATAATTAAGAAGATATATTAGAGTATCTAATATACTCTATATTTCACAGTATATCATCCTTCAAATTACAACAGATTTTTTTTATTGACCTAATTAATCAAATCACAAAGAGCTAATTCGATTAACAAGTTAGAGGTTCATTGATGGAAGCCGAATAAACCCCCTCCGACTTGTCACTATCCAACTATTTCATGATTTGGGGGTCAACTATCAAATTATTCATTCTCTCTGCGGCTCTATCTTTCATTTCTTTGTTTATTTTATTTTCATACTCTTAAAATAAGATAAAATCAAACAAATTAATAATATGGTAATTGAAGAGATAACTAGTAAGAGTAGTATCCACGGTCAAATGTTTTCATTGGAATAGTGAAATATCCTCCCCCAAAACCAAAAAAAAAGGAATGCATTCATAGCTGGTTCTCGCTTGCATGCCATATGGCCAAGGAAGCCAGCATATACAATCACACGAGAAAAACCAAGAAAATAAGTTTTAATTAATTAGTATTTTATTGTTCGACGACACTCCACGCACCGGCCGTGGCCCGTGAGATAATCGATCTAACCGGACCATTATTGATAATTGTTGAACGTACTTAAACGGGGATGGGATGAGGGAAATAAATATGAATGCAGCGTGGGTACGTAGGCGGAGCTGTTCTGGCTAGAGGGAAGGGAAGAGGACGGCATTTCCGTTTCTACTATCGCATATCCAGAAAGCAGAGCCAGGGCAACGGTGCTTGTTTCCCTTTGTATCAGCACACAACATGACTGTGTCCAGAACTGTGGTAAGCCCTTTATCGTCTTCCCTGCACGTCACTGCCGCATCCCCTAATCCCGCTTTCCTTATCGCCTTATTGATTGCCTCTCCGGGGTAGTACGTTCCATTTGCCTTTATTCCTATATCATAATACATATATCGATACATATTTATTTTCTTCAGCTAGATGAGTATATATATGTTATAGAATGTATGTATAGTATAATATCACCTGCATCGGCCAAGAGTTTGAGGAGATTGATTTGCTTTTGCACCCTTAGGGCGGCCGCAAAGTAATCGTGCTGATTTAGAAGTGATTCTGAACAGGTTCCGGACTCGACCCACTTTTCTCTCCATAGATTCTTGCTGTCCCTGCTGGGGCAGCTCAGAGATGGCCAATTCTTCTCCAAACTTGGAACTAAATCTGCAATCTTTTATACGTGTTGGGGAGACATTTAATTAATTTTGTTGAAAAGCCAAGGCACAAAGTTAAATAAATTTCCCTGGCATATAATTAATTAATAAGTGTGATAAAAAAAATAACACGTAATAATTAATTACCTTAGATGGCTGATATTTGGTAGTGGTGCTACAATTAGAAGGGACGAGTCCGAGGCTGGCAATAACGGGTTGGAAGTCAGAAATGATGAAATCATTTAGAGGAGGCTTCCCTTTCTTGGGGAGGCAACACCCCCCCTTGCCTTCGCTCCCACATTTCCTCCGCGGCCACTGCTTGTTTCAATTCAATCCAATTCAATTCCTTCATTAATACGGAGTATATAACAACACAAATGCATCCATCCCCGCCCCGCAATTAACATGCATCATACATCCTATACAATACTTTTATCCCTACCTAAAATATACTATATCATTATGTTGTTTATTTCGAGTACAAACTGTTTTAGGGGCATTTTAAACATTTTAGGTGATATAAAAGTATTGTATGAGATGTACAAAAAACTAAAGCAATAGAATTTTGTGAAACACAGGGAGTATAAGACAAAAATAAAACGATGTTCGAGCAAGGAGTTCATGAGGAATCATGACGCCTACCTAAAAAATTATTACTCGATTGGGCAATAAGACGCTTGGGCTGAACCACATTAAAATATTGAATTCAATCGATTAGTTAGTTCAACTCAAGAGCTTATATACTGATTATTTTACTCTTAAACTTCCGATGTGGGATGCACTTTAACATCTACCAAAGTTAGATATTTGTCCAATTTTGATTTTTTTGCATTCTATTTAAATCAATTGATCAACAATAACAACAACTCAGTTGAATTCCACTACAGTAGGGTCTGAGGAGTGTGTGTACGCAGACCTTTAAAAATATTACATGCTACATTAATTAGATAAAAACAATATTTTAAAAATATTTTACAAGCTAAGATAAACACAATTAATAAAATTACTGTTATACTAATATCTAATACGAAGTATAAATTGTATTTAATTAATAGTCAAAGTTAAGTTTTACTGTTATACTAATATCTAATACGAAGTATAAATTGTATTATTATTACTCCATTTTTAACGTTATTGACTCAATTACAATGTTGTATCTGTTCATATGTTTCTCAACCTAATGACACATGAGCCAATACCTCTGCCTCTTCGTGGCTTTAACTTGAGTGAATTTTCACACTAATCATGGAGAGTGAGCTTTCTACCACTCAAGCTAGAGGAGAAGTTCTATTAGTCCACATTTTTGAGCACTATTTACTCGATTACAATGTAGGTTCTATTCATGCTTTCCTCAATCTAATGACGCACAAAGAGCTAATGAATTCGCCTCTGCTAAAGTCGAACTTGGGTGAACTTCCTCATTAATTATAGAGAGTGGGCTTCCTGTCACCACTCAAGCAAGCTAAGAGGAGAAGTATTATTACTCCACATTTTTATAAGAAAATTACTCTCAGGTGACCTGTGGTTTGTTGAAATAACTCGTGTTTCCCTCTATTTTTAAAAACACATCATGGGCCCTTACATTTTGTTGCAAAGACTGAGAAGGGACATTTCGTCAATTATTTCGTTTAATGACCATTAAAAATGTATTTTAATTTTCCATTTTGTCATTATTGTAGTCATTTATATTACCTTTATTTTTATACTCCCTCAAGCCCTAAAAACTCGTCAATTCCTATTTTGACTTTTTTAGTCAAACAACGATATTCTTTGACCTCAAATTAAACATAATCTAAATAAATAAAGGTTATAAAAATTTGATATATCAAAACTATATCCTAAAACGAACCAAATTCTATTGAATTTATAGTATAATTCAATATATTTTTCTCACAATTTGTGGTTAAAGAGTGTTACTATTTGACCAAAAAAACTAAAAAATGAAGAGTTTTTAGGACCGGAGGAAGTATTAGATAGACAGTTTTGAATTTTTGAAAATAAAAAATTGAGAAATTTTAATAAAAAATGAAACAAAGTGAAGAAAAGATAAAAAGTGAAGGCCCTGAGCTTTGTTAACACAAAACTATTAAGGACAAAATGAAAAAAATATATTTTTTTACCTCATTAACGGAATATTAAACGAAATGTCCCTCTTAATCTTTACGACTTTTGACGTCTTTTAAATAATTAAAGGACTTAGCGAGTTATTTTAATAAAACTCACTTCACTCGATAGTAATTCTCTGTATTTTTATTGGATACTATATACACATTTTCCTCTAAAGATGTGTATATACACTCGATCAAGGGATAAGAATTAAATTTGCATACTTAATGAGTAGATCCACATTCAAGAACAAGAATCTAAGCCTTAGTCCCAAACAAAGGTTTAGAATTCGATCTAATTTGTTAACTAAATATACAAAGCTGACTATTAAATATTGGTACAAAACTTTCAAGAAAGAAAAATGATTCCATAATTATTAATAATGGAAAAGTGAAAGAGGAAGTTAATAAAGATGGTAATAGTGATCGATCGAGCAGTGGAAGGGAGCGTACTTGCAAAGAGATAGCGAAGTGATCGGGAGTTGTATGATTGGTGGAGGCGAGTGAAGAAATTGAAGCCAAAGAGAAGGAGAGGAGGAGGAGTCCGATAAACTTCATCTTTCTTCCCTTATTATTACTCTCTTTTATTGTTAATCACTATATTTATCCGCGATATATAGTGCTACGGTGAGCTAGCTGGGCTCCTTTATTATACTCCCTCCTTCCCAAAATATTCACAACATTTACTTTTTCAGCAGTCGCGAGAACTTTTATTTATTTCTACGTTATCATTGGTTATTTGATAAAATAAAATATTCTTGACACCTCTTATTTCGAAAAATTTTTCATGTAGTTTTTTGATATGTAAATTTTATTTTTTATTTCTATACAAATATGTAAATAAAATAAATTGAAAAAACTTGATATTTTGCCTCGGAAACACAAATGTGGCAAATATTTAGAGACGGAGGGAGTAGTACTAAGATGTACGGCCGTAGGGTGCAAAAAATAAAAAGTAAAAATAAAGTCATGTACACCAAAATGGATTATCTCATTTGTACACCATGTAAAATGAGACACTTAATACTAAGTGTTTGTGTTTGTCTAGTGTATAAATGAGACACCCTATTTTGATGTTCCCCTAAATTTATTCAAAAAAATATTTTCTCCGTTCATAAATAACTTTTCCACTCTTTTTTTGTCTTTTCATAAATTATCTTTCCATTTCCATTTTTGGTAACTTTTTTATATAAAAAACACTTATTACCCCCACTCATCTACTCTAGATCTTCTTCTTTTTTCTTTTCTTCCCGTCCACTAGCTGAAAGTTCATAGGGGCACCAGAAATCACAAACAAAAAGATATGCAAACAGGTCAGTCAAACATGCTGCTAAAAAGAATGTTGTAGCACTTTTGAACAACCAGATAACAAACACGGTGCTATAACCTCTTCTCCGTCACAAGCACACGTGCAGAATATAAGGTAAAAATAGCAAACAATGTACGAGAATTGTTTACATAGTTTGGAGCAACTCTCCTACGTCCGTGAGGCTTATGTCCATGTAACAACCTTTCGACTTATTCAAGAAGGTATATGGTACAACCGGATGTACGTAGAGATAGGTACATCCGGGTACACTACTACAAAAAAGACTTTATAAATCGGTTATTTTGACCCTTTTAAATCGGTTTTTAACCGATGCAAAAGCCAGCGATATAAATGCTCAGGTAACTTTTTGCATCGGTTGTCAAAACCGATGCAAAAGCTTCTGCATTTGCATCGGTTATTACCAAATAACCAATGCAAAAGGTGCACAGATTTTTTTATTAATAAAAGAAGCAATTGCATCCGTTATTAAGTAACAACCTATGGAATTACTATCAATTGCATCGGTGGTTAACTATGAACCGATGCAATTGCCCCCTTATTAAAAAAAATTTGCATTACGTCGGAACTAATATGCAGCAAGAGGAAAAAACATTTCTCTAATTCAAAGTAGATTGAAAGTAGCTAGATACGCATCTCAAAAAAATTCTCAAAGCAGATCAGATTCAAAGATCCATGCTTCCAACGAACAAAAGGAAATAACATTTATCAAATTCAAACAAAATTGAAGAAGAATTACAATTCAAAAATGAAAAAGAATAACAATAATATAGAGTTACAGAGAGCGTCGCATTGTAGGGCTCCACCACCGTGTCGGACACCTTTGGAGACGGAAAAACGGAGAAAGTTAACATCATCCGGTCAGGGTACTCCTCCCTTATCTTCGATATCAACAGCGTCCCCATGCCAGACCCGGTCCAACCACCCAGCGAATGACACACTTGAAACCCTAGAAACACAAACCAAAAAAATTAAACCATCAATTCCGCTGCAATCGCTTCCAGGCGCATGAGATCCAGGAACTCTTAAGCAAAAATACTCCATCAGACACATGTATTGTTAACGAACGCTTAAATACACAAACAAAAACACGAGTTTATGTATATTTGCGTACCTTGGAGGCAATCGGAGTTCTCGGCCTCCTTGCGGACGACGTCCAGGACGGAGTCGATGATTTCTGCGCCCTCGGCGTAGTGTCCCTTGGCCCAATTGTTTCCGGCGCCGGACTGGCCGAACACAAAGTTGTCAGGGCAGAAGATCTAGCCGTAGGGGCCGGATCTGACGGAATCCATGGTGCCAGGCTCTAGATCCATGAGGACGGCGCAGGGGACGAACCGTCCACAGCTAGCCTCGTTGTAATAGACATTGACACGCTCGAGCTGCAGATCGAAATCGCCCTGGTAGCGGCTGGTGGAGTGGAATATCCAACACCATGTGGCTTAGATTTGTGGCTTAAGATCTGAATATAGATGCGTAAAGAGTACGCAGAGGCAAGTGGTAGCTTTTTTTGCATCGGTTAATACGTAGAACCGATGCAAAAGACTCTCGTACTTTTTAAAAAAAAATTGGGTTAAAGCTTTTGCATCAGTTTTTAGAAAATAACCGATCTAATTTGCTATTTGCATCGGTTATTATAATAACCGATTCAAATAACAACCGGTTGGCGAAAATTATTTACCATTAGAATCGGTTTCTTACGTCTCCGATGCAAATGAGGCGATTTTTTTGCCCGATTTTGTACTAGTGGTAATACTCATTCTGAAGTAGAGTAGTACTTATTCTCGCACAAATATAATTAGTGTGGTACTCATTCTAAAATAATGCAGGTTCAATATAATTATAATATTCATCTACAAATAATGTAGTGTTCATTCTGAAACAAAGCATTACTCATTCTCAAATAACTTAGTGTTCATTCTCTTTCTTTCTACTTACCGGTTGTGTTCTTGAGCGTATTATTTTACTCATTATCCACTCTTTTGAGAGAGCTTTGCATTGTTCTTGAGTGTTTTTGTGTTTACACATTTAAAGGGAAGTCAGTTTCCCTTGGTTGTACGAAGGAAAGGTATCTTCTTTTGGATTGAAGTTTTGGAGTGCGGTATCTCCAAGCAAGTGGATTGGGGCTCATGGGACACGAGTTTTCAGATTGTAACGGTTTGTTAAGCACCCGTAGGCTTAACAGAAGTAGTGTAGCTCGAGAGAGTCTCTCGGGAGACTGGATGTAGCCACATGTTTTGGTGAACTAGTGTAAATCTTAAAAACATTATTTGGAAAATCGGGATTTTCAAAACCAGGAGGTTGTTCAACATAAACTTTTTCCTTCAACCACCCATTTAAAAAAGAACTTTTAACATCCATTAGAAAAAGTTTGAAATCAAAAGCACACGCATAGGCTAGTAACATACAAATTGATTCTAGCCTAGCAACTGTAGCAAAAGTTTCATCATAGTTTAGTTCTTCAACATGGCTATAGCCTTTAGCTACAATAATATCTTGTTCAACTTGGTTATAGCAAAAGTTTTATCATAGTTAAGTTCTTCAACTTGGTTATAGCCTTTAGCTACAAGTCGACTAGAAAAATATTTTGAAGATATCATAAATTTAGTTTTGACTGGTTATTTCCGAAAACGCGATCGGTTTCCAATTCAGACCTGTTCGGGGGAAAAGCGCGTACTGTTTGGGTCAGATTTTACACAACGGAGTGGAGGTAACTGCCCACATCAATCCACACGCCACTAACCCTTTAATCTCCCATAACCCCCCATTTAAATACCCTTTTTAATACTCCATTTATCCTTCATCAATTCTTTCAATATAAATCCTCCCCTTCCTCTTCACTTTCTCCACCACAATTATAACTCCCATTCAACATCACAACTCTCCCTTCTCTTGTTCGGCCAAGCAGCAGCAGTCCAGGGAGACAGTTCCACCGAGTAGACGAGGAGGAAGAAGAGAAGGAGGTGTTCACGAGAAACCGTTCGTCGTTCGACGTTGTCATCCGTTTGTTCATCTCGTTCTTTGTTCCATCAACCCCTTCGTTAGAGGTGAGTACGTTGCCCTCTAACTTTAGAATTTGTAGTTTAATCACATCGTTATAATCATAGGATTACCTGCCTAAATATACACGTGTCCACGTTATCATGACTCTTTGTTAATTGGACCTTTCAATTATGTATTCGCTAATATAAACGTTTTTGAAAACCCCGTAAGTTATAGATTACTTATCATGTAAACATAAAACGTTATTTCGAATTTCCAACGAAAGGGTAGCAAATGAACAGACAAGAACTTTGAATCAGCAAGCTCTGATAATCGATTATCAGGACATGATAATCGATTATCTGGCCATGCTGAAACTCCCAATTCTGCAGCAGAGGTTGACAATCGATTAACACATTGGAATAATCGACTATCAGCCCCCGCTGAACCTTAAGCACAGAATGGATTCCGCCTGATAATCGATTACCCATAGGTGTAAATCGATTAACAGACATTTTAGGACTTTGTTTCAAAATCCAGCCAGCCTGACAATCGATTATCACAAGGTAATAATCGACTATTAGGGGCTGCAGAACTTGGGGGAAGGAACTGCCATGCTAGATAATCGATTATCACCAACAGATAATCGATTATCAGCCAGCTCCGAACCCAAGGCCATCATGTTGAACAGATCGTTTTCATACGGAACCAAACGTATATGTATGTTTTGAACTTCATTCATCAAGCAATGCATTCATGACATCATGTATATCCTAGACGCATGTTTTAGGATCATGGCATACTTTACATACCACAGCAAGAGGTCAGGCCCAGTGCGCCTCTTCCGTGGGCCCGTCCAGGAACCTACGGGATCCAACAGGTTTTCATCACGAGGGCTTGTGTACGTACATGGTAGCTAGGCTTAGCTATCGCCCACATTCTAGTCTCCATCGGGATGACTAAGGCGTTCCTCGGCTCATCTACCGCGTGGGGATGATCACCGAAGGGCAGGGGTGTCCCTGCGCAGTCTAACTCATGCATCATGTTTATGTGGCACTGCATCTGTAACACCCTAATCCGTCCAGGTCTGCAGCCCCTTTGGGACTAAAGTATTTAACTTGGTAATCCTAAAAATTTAAAACTTTTCAAACACTTTTATTTATCATAATAATATTTTTCATAACACATACAGTACGGAGTATTCAACAATATTGCGGAAGCGAATTTAATTTTGACATATCATAAATCATTTCAAACTTGTCACATCCATCCCGACAATCTCGCCCCATCTGCCGCCAGAATCACATTAATCTTTCTATTTACCTGCGTGTAGCAAATAAAACACACTACACGCTCAGCGGTAAAGCTGAGTAAGCATATCTAATGCGTCGAACATCCATATAAACTGAATCTAAATTCATAATCAAATCTTTTGATATCATGCACACAAGGTTCGTTTCAGACATTCACAGTTTTGATATTATTCAGTTCATATCAACACATTTTATTCAATTCAGATACTATTTCAATAGTGCTCTTAAATTATTCTTAATCTAAGGCCAGATCATAACAACGCTCTTAGCTATTCTTAGTCTAAGGCCAGATCATAATAATGCTCTTAACTATTCTTAGTCTAAGGCCAAATCATAATAATGCTCTTAGCTATTCTTAGTCTAAGGCCAAATCATAA